ATTGTTCGGCATTATGTAAATCTGTTTTTCTATGAAGCCCGTCGCTCGTGCGCCCACCCAGACAGCCAGCCAGCCAGCCAGCCAGCCAGCCAGCCAGTGAGCCAGCTACCAGACGACACTCATTTAATTGCTGTGCAGTCGCAGAAGGGGGCAGGAACAGGTTGCAAGAAGAGTTTACGACTGGCATTACACGACTGGTGTTAACGATGACAATGAGCGTGGCAGATTCGAGGTCCCTGACAACGTGAGCATTTCCGAACGTGAGCTCGGCCCAGCTCATTATAATTCGTCTGGTGTTTTGCTATTTTTATAGACACTTTGCCATTCCATAGTGCTGGGTGCCCCATGGGAGGACAGACGCCAAAGATTCCGGAGCATGGCACTCCGCATTCGGCACTCGGCACTCGGCACTTCATAAATAATCAGATTTCTGGGCAGATGAACCCCGGACTGGGGACGTTTATTGAACTCAATCTCTCCTGACATTTGCTCGAAAACTTAAAGCAAAAGTTTCCATTTAATGGCGGTGCTTTGCTTCTGTTTGCCATCCTTATGGCTACTATTTGGTATCCCGAAAACTTTTATGTACTTGTATCCATATTTATATTTACTCGTATATGTTTATGTACTTGTGCGTATCCTTATAAGCTCCAGCCAAAGTCGAACAAATCCGTGGGTAGTTTTCAATTGCCTGCCATTTCAATTTATCTTCATGTTTTTCCTCAGATGAAGGAACTTTCCCCCGGGCATGACCCCACACACTCATGACATTAGACGCGATTTTTGTTGGCTCGCAGAGCAACGCGACGCGACGCGACGAGACTTGACTCGACTCGACTCGACTCGACTCGACGACTCTTTAAATAGAACAGACTGTTGTCAGCAGGATGCCCTGCAGATGGGGATGTTCTTGAAAGGGTTAACTTCAATAGGAGAATTTAAGGCAGGACCTAGCAAGAGTAAATCCCTTAAATTCAAAGTTTATTATATTATAATAAATAATCTGCTGGCTATCATTTAAGTATAATTCGATCAGCTCAGGAATCTTCTTTACTTTAAATAAATTAAGCTCCGACTGTCTGTCCGTATTTGGTTGAAGTTTTTTTATGGGAATGTCTCGGGTTGTTCCGGTCATCGCCTCCTGTTGTTATGGTTATAATAGGGGATTAGCTTTATTGCTTAATGTTGCCATTACACTGAGTACCTTTAAGCGGCTTCTGGCCATTGTTTTGGGCGTTCTCTTTGGAGCTCTGGACCTTTGTTTCTCAGTGTTTAGGTCGGGGGCTGCGCTCTTTAAAGTGAAATCAACTTTGTTAAACTGTTATTTAAATCATGTAATGTGAGATTTATTGTTGTGTCTTTGTTTACCGATGAAAACAAAAACTGACACAGGGCATTGTGGTATAATGTGTCCGAAGATATTCATTTCATAGTATTTATTTAATTTTTTTGTGTGCTATTACATACATTTGTACATTCCAATGGAGTAAATATTTACAGCTGTTGAAGTGAACTTCAACCTGGCAGTTTTACATTCTTGTGGCTTTGCCTGCCACCGATCAGAAACTCAATGAAAAGTTTCCTAATTTTCCTAACCAGCCCCATTGCATCCATCTATTTGCATCTTATGGCATGGCAACAAAAGCAGACTCTGGCTCTGGAAATTTCTTTGTTCAAATGGTTTTCAGGAACATCTCTGCCAGAGATCTCTCTCTCTGTGCTTTGGCTGTGTCTGGCCTGCGTCCTCGCAGAGGCACACCTCTGCCTTCACATCGTTCTTTTGTTTGTTTCGTTTGCCCATTTTGTTGTTATTTTTGTCATTTTAAGTGCTTTGCCAAATGCACACGAAACGCTGCAGGCGCAGCACGAATGCCATACACATAGATACGCTAACACAAGCACACACACACACACACACACACACACAGAGAGAGGAACACACACACATGCACATACTTGAGGCACACAGCTGTGTTCATGTTCCATGGCTGCTCCATGCTCCGCCAGGCCGGAAGCTGTTGAGCGCGTGAAGTGGCGGGGCGCAGGGCAGGGGGCTACGGGTGCGGAAGCGGGCTCTTCGGGCTCCAACCGGCGACCTACAGCAAACATTGGCCAAAAACACAAAACGCGGCGACCAACTTTGGCCGCCTTTGGCTGCACTGCGAAATCAGTTAGGAGCTGTCAGGCCGAGAGGGGGGGGGTAACGCGGCAAGGTTCCAGGGGACTCAACACACAAAAAATAGGCACGAAAAGTGGCGCAAAAACTTATCTCAGAGCGATGAAATTTGGATACCCTGGGAGTGGCGGGGAACGGGGAACGGGGAACTTTAATTTCTAAAGCGGGTTTGCTGATGCAATCCTGCTGGTAATTTGTGGAAAACTAACCAAAACTTTAAAATTAAACATCAGCAGGGGGAACCACGAAAATCCACAATTTCCTTTCCCATTAAAGCTGCAAAAGTGCCTCAATATTGTGCTGTCGCCTGTCCCCCTCTGCAGCTAAGAAAATAAATCCGAGTGAATCAAATAGACACAAACTGTCTGTCAATAAAGTACACAGATAACTGCCATGTGTCACAAACACCACAAGCCCCGCGAGTGTATGAAAAAAGTATTTTGCCATTTTTTTGGAAAAAAGAAATACTCAAAAAAGCATTGCGCAGAATTTGTAGTGCCTTTTCATTTGCTTAAATTTGTTTAGCAAGAGTTTCGCCGCTTTTTCCTGCTGCTGCTCTTTCGTCTATTGAATTGTAGGGGAAAACTTTTTGAAGTTGTTTTCGGTTCTGGCGATGATGAAATTATTGATGATGATGATGAGGGAAAATCGTTTTCGGAACTGCCTCGCCCGCTGTCGCTGCTGTTTTTGCTATGAAAACTGTCTGTGAATGTCCCTGCAGCATTTTGTTCTGCCTCGGCTTCGCCTTTGAGCAGCTGTGTGGAAAATGCCATACTTTTCCCCCCAGCAGGGCTGGGGCAAAATCACTCATTCGCAGTGTTGCCAAACGCAGATTCTGTTATTCTTGTTGCTTTTCTCTCTCATGTTTTTCGTCGTTGTTGTTTTCTGAAGGCAAGCGACAAACAATAAAATACAAATTTGCTACTTTATTTTACAGCAGCGCATAAAGCAAGAACAACAAGCGGAAAACATTTCCATGACCTCATGTGGCGAACCCCAGACGAGTCACAGCCAGCAACTACGAGGGGTGGGATCGAGGGGCCAGCAGAGGCGACGAGAGCCAAAGCGGAACCCTTAAGTAGGTCGCAACAAAATAAAAAGTTTGTTTGCCAGCTCGCAGCTCCCCAAACAAGCATAAAACAAGGGAGCCACAAGAGGCCTACAGAACTCGGGTATACCCTATATGAGCCGGGAGATCTGTCGACCTCAATGAACCCATGGAATTGACTGAAAGATTTGTGGCAACAGGAAGGAAATGTTGAGAAAAGTAAACTTTTTCCCACAGAGATATGCATAATTTATGGGAATATGTCAGGACATTCAGGGACGTCTCAGGGGGCGCCTGTACGATGTGGCAGACTTCCCACCAAAGATTTAAATAATTTATACAAAGTCGAGGTGAGAGGACGCGACTTTCCCGGCACAATCCTCCGACATATAAGACGTACAGTCGCACCTCAAAATATTCATTTGATTTCTAGGCATGCGATCGCTTCCCATGAATATTAAGGAATGTTCATGCACAAGTGAGCTTCTGTTAGAAAAAGAAGAGACAGAGATTCTGATTCGTTTGGAAAATCCAAACAGTTTGACAGGCCGTGCTGATGAGGGTTAAACTCATCAAATGGGAGACCTTAAATTCTTTCATAATGAATTGGGAGAGTTTGAAAGAGGTGCAGATGGGTGCATCGGGAATATGCTGATGGAGGTGTTGGGTCTTGACATAAATATACAAAAGAAATAAAGAAATTGAACTGCAATTGAGGCTGCTGATGCACGCGTTTCCACGCTTTAAAGATTTCCATTCTTTGCTGTGAGATCCATTCGAAAATTTGAAATGTGCCATACAAATTTTCCAATCTAAATCCCTGTCGAGGAAGCCTCGAAGAACCTCGATGGCTGCCAAATCCATTTCGATGCCAATACTCCCCGTGCCCATACCCCTCGCACCACCCGCTCCACCCCTTTGCCGCACTCGTCAACATCGAATTCCCTGTTGATTTGAATTTGAAAGTAATTCCTTTTTATATATTTTTGCTCTGCTCTATATTTAGTTGGCATATTCGCAAATATTTGCTGTCGTTGCTGTCGTGACAACATGCCGTATGCTTAATGTTTCTCTTTTATTTTTCATTCCAACATTTCCCCACTTTTTTGCGCCCCTTCCTTTTATTTTTACGCTGTTGCACATTACATTTTTTATGCATTTTCCGCCCCTCGTTGTTGTTGCAGTCTTTGTGCAGAGCACAAATTGAATTTGTCACTTTGGGTTGGAAATTGGGGTTTGGATTGGGATTTAAACGGGGACTGGAGTTTGGGGTTTCAGGGGCTTCGACGCTGTAGACGCTTGGTTCTCGCTTAAATTGTCAGCGTAAAATTGATATGCAAAATATATTTGCACATATGCAGCGGCGGCTGATAGAAATGGCGAAACGCAAATAAATTTAATGCAAATTGCCCGTGGGCCGACGATGCTTAAAGCCAAAGCGCAATTTATGTATGGTTACATTTCTGCAGTGGAATCGAATGAAGGTGGAGGGGATGGGGAACGGTTGAGAGTTGTGGCCAAAGTGGAAACAAATCAAATCAAAAGGGCCAACAAGATGAATGGCAGGGCACAAAGATGAGCGGAGGAGAGACGCGACTGACGGCGAAGCCAAGTTATAAATTCATTTGGAAAACATGAAGCAGGAGCCAAAGACTCAACTCGTCGACGTCGTCTCTACTTTTGCCCCCTCCGGCACTCTCTCTGTTATCTTGCTCTATTTTCCTTTGGTGTCTCTGACTGCCTCTTCTCACTCTGATTTGCCATCTTCTTTTGCAGGCCTCTTGTTTGCCGCAGCGGCGGCCGCAGCTCCTTACAACAGCTCCTCCTCGAATGACTTCAGTCTCGAGGCTGGCTCCGTGGCTGGCCCCCCCACCCTGTCCACATTTCTATCGGCACCAACATCACTGGGCGGCGGCTCATCATCGTCTGCGGTGGAGGCGCCACCGCAAACGGATGCCACGAATCACACTTTCAAGAGTTTAGCCTTCCTGGCCGGCGACGGCGATGAGCTGCGCAGCGGCCCCGTGTCCTTTGGCTCAGATCTCTTTGCGCTCGGAACGGAAACGGAGATGGACAGGGACCGGGACCGGGACACGGACACGGACTTGTACTCGGACCTCGCCCAGTCCCTGCCAATTTTCGACTTTGGCATGCCGCGCAACATCACCGGACGCACTGGCCACACCGAGGCCATAATTAAATGCCGCGTGGACAGTCTACATGATAAATCGGTGAGTGCAAAAAGGCCGAGTGCCTGTGGTGTGGTGGCACTTCTCCAAGGACCGCATTCCCTCCATAACCCGATGAAGATGCGTGCCAAGGACATCGAGTATATCGTGTGGCTGTGCGCTCGTTAATCAAATTTCTTTCAACCATCTGCTTGTGCCAACAGGTATCCTGGATACGGAAACGTGATCTGCATATCCTCACTGTCGGCACAGCCACCTACACCTCGGACAAGCGTTTCCAGGTTTGTCATGTATTCACTAACTAATTGAATGCGTTAACATTAACATTCATCATATATACATTATTGGTAGCTACATTTCATTCCAACTATACGTTGTCCTGGACACCTTTCATAAGAGGTTAAACGGGAGAGTCAAAGTTGGACCATCGATTAGATATTGATTTGTGCAGTTTCCGATTTGTGATTTGTGATTTCTGATTGCTTGTTGATGGGTAGCTTCTATAGATTACTCTTTGACCTTAATCTCAGATGTTTAGCTCTTGATTTTGTATTGGTTTTTGGCTACCGCTTTTGGCTAATTCGTTTTTAGTGACTTCTTAAGGGAGTTCCTGTTGATTTATGATTAATTCTGAACCTAGTGGATTGGGTTGATTAGTTCCTGTTTGAGCAACTTTCCTTACTTTTGTTTAAAGAGTTTATTAAGCATTCGGTTGGTTGCTCAATTGTTAATGTTCAGCAATAAATAAGCTTCCCGATTGACTGTTGATGTGCACACCTCAATTGGTTCCCTAATCACACTCTGTTTCCATTTAATGACACAAAACTAACTGAATTTCCATTCACAACTCCCAAAATACATTAACATTCTCATTCATAATGGATACTGATTGAATTTAAGTGCCCTGAAGCGTGAAATGTCTACCCAAAAATGATTAAAGTCAAGTCTCTAAAGGCTCTAGAGTCATAATTTCATTGACTTAGTCTGAGGATTATACACAAGACAGACAGACAGACAGACAGACAGACAATCTCTTACCCTTGTCTTGGCTGAGACTTCATTTAGCAGTGTGATTTCAAGATAAATTCAAACGAATAAATGCCTCTGCCTTTGCCACTTTCAAACCAATTTTGCGTTGTGTAAAGCTCTTTTATTTTGCGAGCCTATTTTGCATTTGAATCCCACGGAAATCCATCTCAAGTATGCTTTGCACAGAAATCCCTAGAAAAACCAACAATCTATTAGTACAGTGAACCCACACAGCACGGCGACAAAACGAGTCAATGACTGGCATTCAATCCCCCCAGATCAACTTCTAGATTAGATACCTGGAAACACGGCAAATCCCGATAAACTTTCAATGTGGAATGTGGTGAAGCCCAACAACAGCCGCAGCCACAGCCACAGCCATGGCGGCATGTAAAAGTTAACTCCAGCTCTCTTGGGGTATTATGACCATAAAGCCACTTTGATTATGCATGCATAAACGATATTTCAGCGGCTAATCCGACTCATAACTCAGGACAAATCTGCCCCCAGCCCAACACACAGCGCCAGTTGCACAATCGAACGAACAAGTGGCAACAGCAAAAACAGGCAAGCAAGCAACCAACCAGCAAACAAACAAACATTCAATTGCATAATTGCTTAATTTGCATGAAAAAAATAAAATATAAAAAAGCAAAACAATTTGCTGCATTGCAAATTGTTGCCTTAAAAGCGAATAATTATTCCATCGAGACATGACAGAATGAATGCAAAATTGAAAACTGAAATCGAACAACTGAAAAACAACACATTTGTGGCTGTCTACTCGTAAATTGCAATGTCACTGCTTTATGGTTACCCTCTACTGCAGATTTACCGAATGCCAAATGGCAGATAAACAGAAGCGAACTATTCCCATAAAAAGGAAGACAATTTTGTCCGATATGTGCATATATTTATGCATTATTTTAGCTCTGGTTTATGCGTTGGGAAGCTCTAGTTGGCAATATGAATGCCATAGGAGTACAAATATCTACATTGCACACTCACACACAACATACCCCATACCACGTACTATATGTGTAAATTTTGTTGCGTATGTCCTTGGCAGGTAACCGAGTCGAAGGATGCCAGGGAGTGGACGCTGCATGTGAAGTCACCGCAGGCGCGGGACAGCGGCATCTACGAGTGCCAGGTCAACACGGAACCCAAAATGTCCATGGCATTTCAGCTGAACATCATCGGTGAGTGAAACAATTGTGATGGGTGGAACATTTTCGATTTGCTGCCACTGATAGCTGGCTGGCTGACACATTTCAATCAGCCAAACGGACGGACACTGGCCAACGGACAGCGGAACTTGAATCTGAATTTGAAGTTAACATTAATTTCATTATTATTTTGATCTCGGAGTGATGTTTGTTTACCTGCCAGGCTGAGAGCTGGTAGCTGCTTATTAAAAATGTTAATTCAGTTTTTGCACCGCCAGCAGCAATAGCAATTATGATTATTTCCATCGTGCCCATCGTGCCCCTATTCCCCCTCTATGCTATGCCAATACCCGACTGGGGTTTCAGTTTTTCGGTACGGCCCGCTGCGCCTCTAGGCATACATTTTTAATTTCACATTTCGTCCCATAAATAAATAAATAAATAAAAAAGGAAATCAGCAAAGGAGCAAAGGAGCGTGCGCCACAGCTGCAGGCGGCTGAGCCTCCGGATTTCAGAGTTTCGCTCGCTCTCCCGCTCTCTCGCCCGCTCTCTCCCGCTCTCTCTCTCTCTCCATGCAAACAGATGGAGCTTACATGTCGCTTGTTGTTTGGGAGAGCCAGCCAGAGACAGAGGCTGCTGAGTTAATTAGCATGTCAACCCGGCGGGATTACGTACCGGGGTCCGATTGGATCCGATGTATTCAACGCTTTAATGAGCCATGAATAATGCCCGTGTCCGCATATAATTAGCTCTCAGTATGACGTCCCAGCTCCGGCCGGCCTGTTTTGTGTCCTGTTCACCCAAAACACAGTGTCTTGTTCCTGGCATTAGTTGGGCCTTGATGACTCCAAAATCCATCGCTAATGATTAATTGATGATGGCCCCGATTACAAAATGGAATACTGAATACCGTGGCAGCCCGTCGCCACCTGGTGATGTGGCTCTGGAAAATTGCATTTTTTCGTGGGGAAGCTCGGGGAAACTCTAAAAGCGCTAGGAGAAGCGAAAATTACTCTTCACTTTTCTCTCGCTCCCTGGGGAGACTTCCGCTTTGGGAGGGGGGGAAGCCATAATTTAGTTGAGACTTTTTCTTTTTGAGCGTAACTTTTTCTCTTGGAAGCCACACTTGGGTTGAGACTTTTTGCATCGGCTTTTAGCTGTGTGTTTCCTTTTTCGATTATCCTCGGTTTTTATGTGTCTAAGCCTTCGCTGATTGAGGTTTTTCCTTGCTTAGATCTAGATGGATTTTATAATTGAAAGACTTTTTCTTTTGTTTTTTCTAATTTGAGGAGGATTGCATGGAAAAAGTCTCTGATTTGTAGGAGCGGGGATTGCTGCTGATTACATAGGAAAGGATTTTGGATGAAGATATACGGCACATATGTATGTACATATGCACTTGGTCTAATAAACGTGCAATGCTGAGTGGCGTGGCGTTACGAAACTAACGGGGATCCGAGCGTCGCTGTATTCTAGAACGTGAGAGATCGTACTTATGCTTCGTGAGAGCGCGAGCGCTGACAGAGAGCGCTAACAGCACTGTAGACGGCTACAGGCTGTTAGCACAGAGCTCAAGCAGGCTGTTAAGCTGGGCTGTTAACAGTGCTGCCGCTACGCTAACGCTGCCAGTCTGAACAGTCTCCTACTTTTCATTGATTTGTAAAACCGCATACATATATACACATATGTGTGTATGTAGATTTCTTTGGACTACAACAAACAATCATTATATTTGTAATAAAGCGATTTCTTGCGGTACACACAAAAATGGAATAATTATCATCAAGGCAAGAACTTTTCCATGCGTATGTTAATCCCATTCCTCGGAGCCTCATTCTCGTAAACAAACTCGTATCTCATTTGAATCGTGATTCCTGAATGGCGTGCTCCTCATTAATTTCCTCACTCCACCAGCGGAATCTTTCAATCACCTGTAATGAAATTCCTTGAATCCATCGACAGCACAGCCTCATTTGCCTTTCGGTTAATTCCTCAATGTAAAGCGTTTAAAAAACAATCAATTTGAATATTGGATTTAATGGATTTTTAAAGAACTTGGCGAAATTTAAGGCTATTCCATGGAGAGTGGCAATTTTTCCGGGTGCTTTAAATAACAGGCTCGATAAGGGGCCAAGTGCTGCCAAGTGGCGAAAGGGACTTGAGAGATTGAGGGACTGTGTGACTGGGGAGGGAGGTGGGGGATTGAGGAAGCGACAAACCGAAAGACTGAGAGCTGTTGACAGGCCCTGTCGGCATCTGCTGTCAGCCACTTATGCAAATCAGTTTGCAATGCCTTTTTAAGTTTCCGATTATGCACTTCGGCGCGATGCATTTTTGTCGCAGTCCGTGTCCGTGAATGTGTCCGTTGCTGTGTCCGTTGCTGTGCCCAATTCTCGTATTCATCCTCCATCATGTTGCCCTTCCGCTTCCTGCTCTGACGCTTACAAACGCATTTCCGATTACATTTTCTTCACGGCCGTATGCATTTTAATTTACGTTAATGAAACAATTTAAAAGAAAAATTCGTAGCCTACGACTGGAGTGGACTCCTGGCTCTGTAGTGCTCTGGAATGGATAGGCTAGGAGTCGAAAGGAGTGAGTTGAGATGAAGCGGAGTGGATACGACAGCAGAGCGCAGGAGTCCACTCGACTGGACAACAGTGCTGCTGACAGTCCTGGCAAACTGGCTGCGTCCTTAATAACATTATCGGCATACGTGTCGTATGAGTGACTTTCGGAAGGCGCTTAACTCTTCATTCTGCCACCGGGCTCCACTTTTGCTAGCTCCGAGCTCGAGCACCGACTCGGGCTCTTGCTTCTGCTTCTGCTTCAGTAGCTGCCCCTTTTCTGTTGCCTCGTATTGCATTTAATTAATGTCATTATGCAAATTTATGCGACCAACCCCAAACAATTTTATTTTTCGCTCGTCGTTTTTTGCTGTTTTTTGTTTTTGTTCTTTGTTTTTTACGAAGGGGGAAAAGAGATTTATTTCTGTTATAAATTAAGGTTGGGGGCTGGTCCGGAATAAATCCAAATAAATATGCATGGAAAGTATGCCCTAAGATGATCATTTAAAAGGCCGTATAAATATGGAGGCATAATTCTTGAAAAATATTTCACTGCAATTAGTGGCTTAATTGATTGTTAAATCTTGTGGGAAATTGTGCTGGAAGAGTCTGCTTGCCGCACAACAATGCGTGCATAATGCGGGGATTTTTACGCGCACTTTTTTAATCATTTCATTTGTCGTTCAGTATTTGCAGAAGTTTAAAGGGATTTAAATATGGATACATATATTTATTTGCTTGAATATATAATTAAGCTTCCTTCATTCATATCAAGCTACTTGTTTTTTAATTGTTTAATCTTTTGGGGAATTTACGGTACACAAATGGGCGTACTTTTTCCATGACATTTCGTCAGTTTTTAAATATTTTTCATATGATATTTATGCATTATTCATTACAATTGAAAAATATTATTTCGTTGCAATTAGCTGCGGGTAAATTAAACAATAACAACGCAGTCACAACGAAACAATCACAATTGTAGTATTTACTTAAAGTACGTACGATTCACATTAATGTGTCTGCCAGTACATTGTACACGAGAGCCGTTGCTCTAAGCTGCTCCTTCAGACGTCAGTTCAGGGAAAAAAGAAAGGAGAAAAAATATTTTTTTAACCTTTCTCGGAATAGGGTGGATGGCGTAGGAGGATCGCAAGGGATGAAAGCGGAATAAATCCGAGCTGGAAATGTAATCAAATAATGGTTTTATTTCCTAAAATTCCTACCATGCCATGCCGTGCCTTAAATTTTACAAACATTCGTGCTGGGAATTGCAAACAAATGCCTTGCAGAAGGAACAGCAATGCATTCGCAATGGGAGACGATTTAGCATTTAGATTTTTTTGTACAATCATTTCAATAATTTGTTCCGAATGTTTGTTGCGCAGATACCTAACCATATGAATTGATATTTACATATAGTTATGTATGTACTCTGTGGGAGCTTCAAATGCTTTTCATTCTGTAAAAAATGATACAAATATGCCAACGAAAGGAAGAATTTGCTGGCGATTTGTTTTGACCATTTTTCCAATGCATTTGTTTCGTACCCCATGCTGGACTGCATTTTATTTTCATGGGAATAAATTCATAGGGGGGCAAATGCATTGAGGAATGTTTTGATGATAACATTTCATAAATTTCCCCATGGATTTTTTCTTAGGAAAATGCGCTCAACATTTTTCCACATCATTAGGATTTGTTGCTGCATTTAATTTTAGGATTTGCCTAGTGCCCTCTTTGGCTGTACGTAATTGCATCCACTTGACCTTAGAGTGCCTTTGTTGCCGAATTTTCCTGATTGTTGCTGTGTGCACGCCACACGCATTGCATTTTATTTTTCATGAAATATTTAAATTAAAAAACTTCATGGGCGGCCACACAAAATGCACGCAGAACTTTAGCGACAGCTGGCCTGGCAGGAAAAATGAAAAATCTGAAATGAAATGAAAATAGTGAGGAAAATGCCTGTGTCTCGCTGCTGCTTTTCCTTCCTCTCTGTGTCTCGCTACCCAGCACGTTCCCCCGCTGCCTCTTCTGGGTGTTAATTGCCTTTAACGCAGTGACACTGCAAAAAAAACACACTCGCAAAGAGTGAGGAAGAGATTGCGAGAGAGGGGGAGGGAGGTGGATTGTAGGACTGTACGACTCCGGAGCTGTAGGGGCATGGAGGGGACACCAAATACATACGCACTTAATGGCGCAGTGGGATTTTTTAACACACACACACATGCCCATTCACACACATGTAGCCTCGCGCGAACAAACTCAACATATGCCAGAGAGAGAGAGAGATGCAAACAAACAGACGAACAAAAAATACATCGTGTGCGATTTTCGGGGAGAGCAAGAGCAAGCGGGAGAGCTGCAGGGTGGTGGTGGGTAGAGGCAGAAACCGCCATTCGGCAAGATCTCTTCCTGGCGCTCGCTGTAGAGCCCCTCCTCCGTTCGTACTGCGACCCATGTAATCATCATCATATGCACTTTTATGAGCTGCGTCGCAGCCAGAGCGCGGGGCACAGTGGGCCACAGACTCTGCGATGGCGGACAAAAATGTGGAACTAATACTGAACGGATTGTTCAGCAATCAGAGTGGAAGGGCTTAAGCGATTACCCTCACTAAGCTGCATTTGGTAAATGATTGAACCTTAATGGGGCTTGCAAGAGATTACGGGAAGAAGAGCGCAAAATAATAGCAATTAATTCTTGTGTCGGTGCCCTTGTGCCCCTCGCTACTGGTGGCCTTTTTCCCACTGGACAGCGAATGCTGCAGGCTGTAGAGCTCCCCAAAATGTTTTGGGACTTGTTTCATTGCGTGTAAAGTGGTGACTGGAGGTTCTCATAATATTTCTCTTTGCTGCAATCAGCTTTGGGCAGTGTATTTCGTGTCGCTTCGGTAAATATTCCATAGTTGAATTGAATTTCCATGCGGTGTTGCCTTTAGATTGTAGATTACTTACCCTCCTTCCAACGTCTCCCCCTTCGAAGGTCCCACAGTGCCCAACTCCACATGAACTTTTATTTCAGCTTACCGTGTCGTGTCTCTGGTTTTTTGGGTATATATTTTTTAATTATTATTATTTGCACGGTGCAATGCATAATAAATATTATTATTAACCCAGTTCCACCAGGACAGGCGACGACTGTGCGAGTTTCCATATGCGAACGCAAAATTTCATACACATAAATGTATGTATGTGTGTGTGCTACATGTGTGTGCGTGTGTGTGTGTGTGCAATGTCTGGTGTGATTTTCTCACTTCTTCTTCTGTTCGCTTCTCTTTTTGTTTGTTTTTTCGCGAATTTACTTAAATTTAGTGCAATTGAAAAGTTATTCCATAAAGTTTTATGATTAAAAGTTTTTATGTGCATTCCGAGTTGGCTGGGAACTCGTTTCACAAGCGATTGCCCCAAATTGATATCGCTTTTTGCACACCTCAAGCCCAACACGCTGATAATTGTTTCTTGTTTTCGGTGCGTTGCAGAAATCTCACCCGACGCCAAGGCCGTTATCAGTGGGCCACCGGATCTGCACTTTAAGGCAGGCAGCGCCATAATCCTCAATTGTGTGGTGCAGCAGCCGTCCGTGAAGGACATTGGACCGATATACTGGTATCGCGGCGAGCACATGATCACGCCATTCGATGCAGACGATGGCGAGGCGGCTGGCCCCACATCCACCAAGGAGGAGCAACAGCGAGGGCATCCTTTGGAGGTGGAAGCGTCGCCGAATGATGTGCTGAGCGAGGTGGACCTGCAGCGGGAGTTTGCCACACGCATCGCCATGGAGTCACAGCTGGGCGACACCCTCAAGTCCAGGTGGGTTTTCGGGCAAATGGGGGTGGCAGCATAATTGAGTTGTACTCAGTGTCTCCTTCTTAATCCCGACAGGCTGCGCATCGCCAATGCCCAGACGACGGACACCGGCAACTACACGTGTCAACCCACAACGGCCAGCAGCGCCAGCGTCCTGGTCCATGTGATTAATGGTGAGTCCCTGGGAGTCATTCAGTGAGTAAGTGAGTGAGTGAGTGCGTCCTGGCCTGGCCTGGCCTGGCCTGGTCTGGGCACACAGCTCACAGCTCACGGCTCGGGGCTCAGGTCCGTGCCTGGACCCTGGGTACCTCCACTCTACGCTCTTCCGGCTCAGGTGGTGCCAGGCGAGGCATAAGCCTATTATTTACAGTGCCAGCACGTTGTTAGTGTACAGCACACACACACACATATGTACATACATGTGTGTAGAGTGAGAGAGAGAGAGAGAGAAAAGAGGAGCTGTTCTTCCTTCAAAGGAGACGGACTCTTAAAGCTTATCCTTGCTTCAGTGCGCACTGACTTGTCTAAGGACTTGCAAGATGTTGTTGGACTTTTGGTTAGGCCACAGACATCAAGGCCCACAGAGTTCTTCGTGCCCAAAACTAAATTCCTATCATTTAATGGTAATAGGAGAGAAAGGAAATTGAATAATAGTACTTACTATTCCTGTTACTCTTTTGAATGATTCCAGTTTACGCTTTGCATATTTTAGTATTTGTTTCGAGTGCCTGCAAGGCAACTTTATTGCACACACTGTGCAGAGCAGCCTCTCCCTCTCTCTCTCTCTCCGTCTCCGTCTCTGTCTTTCTATTCATTCAGAGACACGCCCTTTTGGGACTAAGAGTAGAGATGGAGCGGTGGAGGTGGAGGCCTAAAAACTAAAAGTTTCGCCACACTTTCTTCGCCTCCCATGGCTCGCGCACACACAACGTTGGGCTTCCTTTCTGGGTTGTTTTTTGTTTGTTTTTGGGCCTCCCGCCCAGCGAGTCGCGGGCCCCGTTGGCGTATGAGTAATGTGGACAAGGAGCGAACAGTCAGTCGTTGGAGACTTTGGCGTAGTCGCCATTTCGGCTTTGCATATTTTACATATAAATTAGACAGAAATTAAGACATTTTAAGCTGCGAAATGAGGGGCATAAACTTGACGCCTCCTTTGTCCTCCGATTTCCAGTGCTTCTCTTTTTATGGCCCTTTATGGCAGGACATTCGCAGCAAATTGAAGTCTTCCGACTACACCACGTCCTCGACTCCGTGTCCGTGCCATGTCCGAGCTCTAGTTTTTCTCTCTCTTTATTTTTATGCGATATCAAATGTTAAGCGAAATGTCCAGCACTTAAGTTGTTAAGTTGTTTATTCAAATGAATTTTGTTGTACGTACAGGAATTTGCATTTTAAAGAGCAACTGTCTTCTGGCTCCTTCTCCACTGGAAAGCCATAATAAATATGATTAAATGTCAGAAGTAACTTGCAAACAGGCACTTAATCATGTCCCACATGTGTGCCACAAGAGTCGACCAGCGCGCTCTGAAGGGTGTGGATATCAGACAGCCTCGCTGTAAGTGGAGGAGACTCCGACTGGGAGTGGGAGTGGGAGTGGAACTGGTACTGTGCCTTTGCTACTAGGACTGGCACTGGGTATGGGACTTCCATAAATACAGATAATAAATCAAAGGCAATAAAATTTTAAGAAAAATGACAAGCACCGAGTGCTATCTAGAGCTAGAGGCCCCTATTACAGCGAATAGGGTTACACTCTACGACTGTTTGAGTTATTACCACTCGTTATATATTGATCTGGCGGCTTTTTGTGGTTTGAGTGGGAAAGGAAATATACCTCATAGCTCTTGCCATCTGTCTTGACTCCAAACTCAAAGCAGTTATGTGCTACCCCAATAATACCCTTTCTTGTGTGGCATATTCCACCCATTACTCATCTGACGTGGGCTTTAAAAATCAGTGACTGTGCGAGCAGAGATGGGTATGCTTTTGTGATGAGTCAAAGGAAAGCATTGACAAATGATGTGGAATGCCTGGAATAACATTTGCTCCGAGGAGGAGCCCAGAGTGTAGCGTAGATGTTCAAACACATATGTCATTTATCTAGTCGCTAAGGACCCAGGACCCCCACACCCACAAATTAAGTTATTTGCCATGGCATAGTCAATGGGGCGGGCCTCATGCCACAGATTTGCATACATATGTTACGTAATTATATTCCACTGTTTGTCCAATCTCTAACGTTCTCTCTCCCACTCTCTCTTGCTCCCTCTCTCTCTCTTGCAGATGAGAATCCCGCTGCGATGCAGAAGAGCGAGGCATTGGCACTGCCCGGACTTGGCCTCCGCCTGGAGCTTTGTTGGATGTTCCTCTTGGTATTAGCTCTCAGTCGTTGAAGGCGAAAGTTGTACCCCCAGCAGCAGCATACTCATTATCGTCATCATCGTCATTATCATCGTTAACTTTGTTATTGCAAACCAAGAAAGGAAAAAAAAAAACGACAGAGGGGGAGAGTTGGAGGCAGAGGCAGAGACAGGAAGAGACAGAGTGTTGTAACAAATGGAAAAACATGAGCAAGAATTAGATGTCTCTCCTCCAGATATGTTTTTTAGAAATTCTCTGCAAAAAGGAAAGGCAAACACGAGCACAGAGAGCCATGCGCTCGCTTTCCCTTTCAAGCATAATGTGTTTCCTTTTTAATATTTACATTTCATTGTTCAAAACGAGACACTGGGCCCCGGAAAATGCAATGGAAAATGCAAAAGGAACGGCCGTAGAAGGCAGACGCGAACCACAGAAGCACAGAAGGATGACACTCTCTGTAAATACCACAAAGATGCGGCCCAGGCCCACCAGCTAGCTTTCCTTTATCATGCAAAATGCATACATATATGTACAGTGCCGAGTAAAAGTCTATGTACGACCCAAGACACATTTTAGCATCAACTGTAAAATGTATAAAACTAGTGTTAATGCCTAGAGATACTTATGATTGCAGAAATGGAAACTAAAATACGATTACTATTAGGGACCACCTCTGCTCTTGCTATTTTGGATTTCCAGCAATTTGTTTTTCCATTTAAAAATAGATCTCTTTTGCTTACTCTTTTTCTATGACAAGGTTTAAGCTTTATTCTAATATTTTATAATTTACTTAAATTCATTTTTTGCTCCCTCTAGTTAGCCAAAAATTGCTTGTCAAATGCAGAGACTTGAGTACGCCACTGTTGGATGAATGCAAAAGTTTATTTTATTTCATTATTCTGCCTCCAGCTTCCAGCTTCCAGTCTCCTCTCCCTCTCTCTCTTCCTGTCTCTCTGCTCTCCACACACATCGAGAAGACAAAGGAGCGTAACACGCATCGACTTGATAAACATTTCATGCTGTCTTAGCACAGAGAAGAGAGCAAAGCTAACCCAAGAGAAAAGAAAAACGAAAAAGCAAACACACAGTCTGTGGCACAAGTATACAGCCATACCCACTACCCATACTACTCTACCCGAAGAATTGTAATATATACATATATGAAAACGAAAAAGAACTCTCATCAAATAACTAAAAAAAAAGCACACAGACGAAGAACGAACGTAAAACTGTCATCAAATAACATAATAAAATAAAATAACAAACAGACAAAAGACAAAAGACAAAACGAAACAAAGCGAAAGTAAAACTTAATTATAAAAAACGAAATTGTATGGAATTTATTTATGGGCAAAATGAAATTTAGTCACGCGGCGCGTTCCATATTCAAATAGAAAATTGAAAATGGGAAAAGGCAAATGGCAAATGGCAATCGAAATGCCAAATGCGAAAAAGGAAAGACCCCAAATGGAATTCGTTAATGAAAAGCAAAATCAATTGCGGACAGGGCAAGCCTGACTAAATTTGATGTTGCACATGGATTGGTGGACGGTGGACGGTGGATGGAGGATGGAGGATTGTGTGTGTGTGTGGCAAATATTCGTATGAATATTACCAGTACGCGTATGTGTACTTTGGGTAGGCATGAATTTACTACACGTAAGCCAGTAAGCAGATTTTAGATAATTTATGTGATGACAAAACCAAATGATACATAAATCAATGGATTGAATTCTTTCAAAACAATAAAATGAAATGAAACTAAACATAAACATAAATCACAAACCAACAAAAATCATTTTATTTCCCCCCCCCCCCCCCCCCCCCCCCCTGGTCGGGCATCAATCTCTGCCTGTGTCCGGGTAAGTACTCGGCAAAATGTTCAAATTAAGTAAATTCCAAACTCAATTACTGGAAAAAAATGCTGTCATGGTTTTGCTTTTGACTGGTACATGTACATTTATGCGGCAGTGTGCCCCCAACAAAACTGTTTAATAATCATCAAAGCGAAACCCGCAAAAGCATATTTGCTTCCAATCAGAATTCGAGAAGTCGAGGCAGGATTGGTCGATGGCGTTTCCAATTCATTGAACAGCCGCCGCCGCTGCTTCTCTTTGCATTTTTTTGCTGCTTTTCAATGCAGTTTTTTTTGTATGCGAGCAAAAGGAAGCTGCATATAGAAAGATTGATCTAATCAGCGCTATCAAAGCTCGCTTTCTGTGTCGCTCTGTGTCGCTCGTTTGTGGCAACGTACTAGAGAAGTACTCCTTTGACCTAAGGTTTGAGAAGAAGGATGCATTTGCTAGCCCCTAAAGAATATGTCTGTTTATATACAAAAGTAGTTACTCAGTTGGGTATATTTATCACGAATTACCTATACCTAAGTCGCACTTTATCGGAGCATCAAGGCCCAACATTCAGCACCTTCGCTTTAATGTGAAACTTGAATAGAATTCTGCACTAATTAAATTTGAATTTAATCGAATCATTTGCGCCAGCTTCTGCCATCGTTTGGTGGCTCAAATTTCTGCAAATTATAATTGATATTTGCTGCGTCTTGAAAAAGAAACGGCAAAACAGGAAAATATTATTACAACAAAACAGCACGGCAAAAGTTCAGTTTCAGCGTGCCGCAAGATGGTGCCCATAAAAACGCCATTACTGTCTGTACCACACACATTCTACCCCTACCGCTCCTTCTTTAGAGACCGTCACTGGCACCACCGAAACACCAGGCCAAACCCACCCAGCTGACCCAATTAATGTGCCCATAGCCAAGTGTTTTTCATTAGTTTGAATCCGCACGAAGAGATCATCGCCGGTATTTAAATGAAACAATTACGGGCTCCGGACAGCCGCCACTTGTTGCGCTTCAGAGGAACCAAAAGGGCCATCACCAGCCCCCTGACAAGGCCATTTAATGTCCGTTTGGATGGAGGTTTTTATTTTAATTTAAACAAACAGAGAAGGACAAATTTGTTGGGCTGCAGCCAGCATGCCCCTCGTGGCAAATCCAATTCTGGATATCAATCATACGCCGCATAGGCTTACAGAAATGTCTTCAGCAGGGTGATATATGAGCCGGCGGTGCTGAGTATCTAGGGAGAGGGGCGATAAAGGCGGTTAAAGCAAGAGAAACATAAACATTTATTATCATAATCAACGGCACGAGAGCAACACATCTCTCCTCGGCCCATTCTGGGAATCATACCGAACCGAAGGCCATGAGGGAGGGCGTAAAAAACGGAACCGCAATTGTTTTTGCCCGCTGCGAACGCCGCAATATCATTAAAATCATTTTTCTAGTCCTCGCATCGCATTTGTACCACTCAATGTCGTACAGCACGTCCGCCACAGCAGCGCTCTGCAAACAAAACAAAAAAAGGGAAGAGAGAGAGAGTACGGTACGGAATTGTTGTGATGAAAAAAAAAGCAACAGCCTCCAACTGAAACTGGATCTGGGAAGTGGAACTGAAACTGAAACAGAAACTGATGCTGAAGCTGAAGCTGAAGCTGATGTGGCAGGATGGGATGGATGATGATGCTATACTGAGGGGTGCGCCTCCCCACTTTGTTGTGTAATTAAAATTTTATCACAAGTGCAATTTGTGTATGGCACATCATTTTTTATGTCGGGTGCCTGGCTGCTTAATGTTGGGCGTCAAATTGAAATTACAGAAATTGAAAAAAACCAGAACCAAACAAAAAGGCAGCACTGAGAATGAGTGAGAGGCGAATGCAGAGATACTCTAGGAATTGGATGGGGGAATGGTTATGGTAAGAGCTACTTACTTATTAACAGATGGCAGATTTAGGCTCTATTCTGTGGGGAAATCGCTTATACAATGGATATAATTATGAGTATGGTTTATGCTTTGGGTATGGTATGATTTATGGTAATGGGCAGAGGGTAGATTAAGGCCATGCATCATGGAGCCCAATCAAGTGATCTGCAGATAGATGGCTGCCAAACTCTGAACAGAGACACAAAAAGATCCAGCAAACATATTCATTCATCACAAATTGATTTCTTTGGTGAAAACTACACACAGAAACTCCCCAAACGCTTCTCTAAAGACACTACAAATATGTTCAAAGAATATTTCCAGGACACTCTCCATAAAAGACTCTCATCAGACGTTGGATAGACTGCGGACAATGCTGTAAAGAGCTCATCTCTTGAGGCGCTCCTGGAATGCAAACTCGCAGGCAAACCCATGATAACCCTTTTGCGACGAGTGTATGGAAAGGCTGAATGAATGACGGAAAGAAATGGCTGTGCGAGTGCGAATGGTGATGGCAATGGAAATGGGAAAATGGGAGTAGAAGTGCATAAAAAAGTCCTACTAACACTCTCGCTGACGTGATTGCCGCCGTAGCAGTAGAGGAAGAGCTGCGTTAGGGCCGCCACAGTATAGCAGATGTAGGTTAAGCCGCTCAGCGACGACGTGTTCTGCCCGGCGAAGGCGAAGGCGAAGCAGAAGAGCATGGAGCATGGAATGAGAAAGAAAAGAGACCGAGATAAGAGCTGCCATTAATTGGAGAGAAATTGCTTGTAGTGAAAAAAAAGTAAAATAAAATGGCAAGAGATTATTTAATATATGCATAATCGTGAGAGTTTTGAAGTTGTTGTGGGAAAGATGTGGGACGGCGAAGGAAAGTGAATGAAAAACTTCAAAGAAATTCCCTCAAAATGGTCTTGGGCTACTTGCGGACTGGCTGAAGTCTGATTGCTTTTCCGTTCCCATTCCCATGCCAGTGACATTTTCAGTTGCGGGGCAAATCAGGAGCAGGGGAAAAGTACTTCTAATACGATTTCTGCATGTAGTAGAATGCATAAAGCCGTAAGCATGCTCGATTGTACAAGAGTGTAATAGGATTTGCCATAAATAAACTAGTTTTATGCTTTCTCTCCCTCTCTCTCTCACTCTTCGTTTCCCCCCTTTTTGGCCCGCTCCAAACTTTGTTTTTGTTTTTCTGCTCTCGGCTAGGGGAAGGTCGGAGAGCAGGAACTTTTTCCAGCTGGCCAGGGAGTACTCCAAGGGTATGCCAATGGTATTGTTGCACTGACCACCAACTGGCAGCGGAGGAACACAAAGTTGGATTGTCAGCATCGAGCAAGAGTAAGAGAAGAAGGAGGAGGAGCAAAGCCGATGGAATGCATTTTTAATTTTCGGTTGACCGATGCACAGAGTACTTTTTGTTCAAATTTAATATCATAATCTAGATTATTGCAGACTTTGAAGTAAGTTTTAAGAGTGTTGCGGCTGATATTTTGTGATCAATTGGGGACTTGCTGCGAGTACAAGAAACTATTTTGTCTCTCCTTCTGCTTAGCATAAGACCAGACCAATACTTTCTCTTGCCTGAAGCTCTGTCGAAATTTCAATTATTTTCATTTAATAGAGCCAGAGAATTGTGCAGCTCAAACAACCAATAAAACCAATGAATGTTACCTGTGGCAGCTCCTGATTCACTTATTTGAAGAGCAACCAAGCGACCAATCGAGTGCCCAATAAAACCACCCAAATGCCGACCAAAACAAACTTCATAAATGTATACAAATCGGCCAAAGTCTTTATATTTATACCGTGCCGCTCTCTAAGCGAATCAATATCAATCGCATACTTTCACTGCTCCCCAAAGACGGGGCAAACATGAGCAACTTTTTGGCAATTGATTTCGGAAAACACCTTAAACAGCAGCGCTCTGCCCTGCTCCGGAAGAGGAGCAGCAGCAGCAGCAGCGCTAAAGTGTCGCCTGCATTTATCCCATTTGGGAGTGGCCGGGAGGGACTTCTCGAAACAGTTTTCCGAACATTTTCAGCGCTGGTTTTGCAGAGCAGTTCGTGGCCAACGGCTTATGGGACCCCCCCACGGGGCTGTGCCGGGGACACCGGAAAACGTGTGAAAGTCGCATTAAAAACTTTTTTCGTAGCAGTAACAATTCATGCGCTTATAAATTGCCACCGGAGAGGAAGAGAGCACGGTAGCGGCGCCATTGCCAGCCACAAAAGAAACAAAAACGAATGCGGAAAACGAATCTGAACTGTGCGACAAAAAACAGGGAAAAACTTTTAAAACGGCCGCCAAATTCGATTCAACGGTGGCAAGGTGTGCGGCTAGGCTTACCAACATGATGTCCAGGATGGTCGAGCACAGGACGAAAGCGGCGGACAGGAAATGCATTAAAACGATAACGGTAAACTGGCGTGTTAGGTCCGTGCACAAATCGATAATCGCATTGTGCCGCTCGAC